TGTGAGTAGACTTAATTATTTTGTACTGCTGCTCACTCCTGAGGAAAAACCCTCTGAGAATTCTATCCAATGCCTTTTGAATTATGATGTGTTCCTTTTTGGATCATAGGAACAGATACTATTTTAGGTCCTGTTCTTTCAAATTCTTTACAGTGCCTTTCTCTCTTCCCCCACCTCAAGTAGTCTCCTCACTTGAATACATTCATAACTTGAGAAAAATCTGCTGTAGATTTCCAGGCTTCTCTCTATTTGCAGCTCTCTCTTTTCCAGTATTCCATCCTGTGACTTTAGCTGCTTTGGTCTTTTGCCTCTTCCAACTATAACTCCTCAACTCGAGGACTCCACAGAGCTCTACTTGGCTCCATTCCTCCTCCTTTTACTGCAGTCTGGGAACTCTTTCAAGGAAGCAAATGGAATGTGTGCTGAGTTCACTTGTTTCTCATGTTTCAGAAATCACCATCCTTATTTGCCTGATGTCTAATGTCCCCCATTGCATAATAGGTCAGTATTTGTTTGTTTATCTCCTTTAGAAAGTTAAATTCAGTCCCTTTTATTCTCTCTTGACTGGAAGCTAAAGAGTATGGAAACATTTATTTATTTATTAGTTATTTATGTATTTATTTTAATTTAAAGATATGGGGTACAATTCAACACCAATAAGGGTTTACACACTTTACCTGTACCTGAGAATGGAAACATTTAGACTTTAACTTACTTTGCTTCTCATTAGCATCTCTTATAGTTAATCTCAAAAGATGTCCCCCAATGTAACATGCTAGTCAGAATTCAATCTCTTGTGTGATTCCTTTGTTCTGAATCTGTGATAACTCTTGGATTCATTTTTGATTTACTGAATGTGTTGGAAATGAAATTGCTTGAATACTGAGACAAGCTCATAAGAAGCTTTGTTTCTTCCTTCTGGATCTATTGGATGAGTTGTTTAGGGTGATGTCTGATTGTTCTGAGACAGTTTTGCTGTGTGGAAGCTCAAGCTAGCCATATGAACAAGCCTTACAGAGAGAGGTTTATAGCCAGCTATGCTCAGAGATTCTAGCCATTTCAACCCAGGAGTCAGACATGTGAGTAATGAAACCATATTGGACATTCTAACTGCATAGGTCACATAGAGACGAACCAAGGAATTCCATTGACAAAATGCCTGAGCAACATAGTAAGCCTATATACAAGGTCTAACTGTCACAGTAGTCTAGTAATTCAATCTATCCCAGCTGTTAGCCCAGTTATTTTTGTGCAGAAAACATTTTCCCACTTTTTTCCTTCCTTAATTCATAATGTACAAAATCAATAGCATAATAAAATGTTTATTATTATATGATACTATTAGATAACCAAAACAGGAATGAACATAGTCCTTCTTATACCTGGGTAAGTGGGCCCTTGACCATACTCTTACACATGTTAGTGAGCCCAAGATTTGAAGAACTTAGCTCGTCATTGGACCAAAAAATTATTAAGACAAACTGAAATATACAGAATAAAAATTATGAAAGACTTTTTCAAACAAGTAAATGTTATCTAAGTTCTATGCCAGTTATTTGATAGGATTTGACAATGTCTAAGTATATCTAAATTCAGTCAACTGATTCTCTTGGATTTGATGGAATAGTTCTGAATTAGAACAACCTTTATTCCTACCATATGCATGGTATGAACTCCTGAACCAGACCAAGTCTTCCTGACTGTGAAGGCAGACTATGTTGGTTTCTGTATTACAACAGCATAGTTAATGACTTTTTTGAAATAAAGGTAATAAAAACATTTTTTCTTAATAAACTTATAATTAATTAATCAATCAATTTTATACCACTAGCTTGTGCATAGAATCTTTAGACATATATACTCCACATCTGCATATAAAATAAATGTTTTTGTTTGTAATTTAAATTTGAGTATTCCATAAAATTGGGTTCATTTTAATATGATGCATTACAATAAGTCTTATTGCCAATGAAATTGAAAAGCTTTCTAATTTGATTCCAAGAGCAAATGAAAATGTCCTTCTTTTAGACATTTATTTTATCGTGGAGTGTCATGGAAGATGCCTGTGGGCATGATATTATATAAATCCCTGGGGAGACTATGGTCAACACTGAAATATTTTACTACAGGAAAGCATTGGTTGTGGCCTAAAGAGTTTAAGAAAATATGTGGTAAAATGAAGAATGAATTTAATATGACCAGAAAATGAATTATTGTTCACATTTTACTGCATAGTCTGGACAACACTTGCGTTTGTGATCATCATTACTGAAGAAGAGTAACAACCTTTGAGAGAGTCAATAAAAACCATCATTCATGGGTGGCACAATGGATTATGCAGTACCATGAGTAATGCTGTTGCAGGTATTAAATAAATGCTACCAGGGAATTGTAGAGGCAAGAATATCTGTTTAATTTCAAAGAAACATGTTCCAAAGTGTTATGATATTGTGAGTAATAGCAACATTGCTACAATTTTCTTGTAGTGAAAAATGTGGAATTAGTAAGAAAGGCACACTTGTCAATAAAGAACATGAAGAAATGCTACCTGTACTGAACAGGAAGAAATGATACCTTAACACTATGAAGAATCTTTGTGTGCACTGAATGGGCAATATACACATGCAGAAAAATTTATTCTCTAACCATTCTAAGTTTTTGTTGATAAGACTATACATTTTCTAATAGAACTATAAATGTTGCAATGCATTTTAAACATTAAATTATTGACATTGACAAAGACTTTTTACATTCTGAGGGTGGCCTTGAATGCAGTCAACCATATCTCCTTACTGATTACAGTCCATTTTGAAGTCCTTTCTCCAGTGACATTCTTGCTTTTGCTTCTGCTCCCCTGACCACCACTTCCTTGTTTTCTCTCCATGCTATTCTCCCTACTCCAGAAATTACGGATATTGCGGGGCTCTTCAGGGCCCATTGGTGGGATTTCTTCTATTCTTGCTTTATTATACTCTTTCCCTAGGCCATCTCTTCTATTTTAATGGCTTCAATTACAATTTGTAACAAATTCAAAAGTTCATTTCTTATTTAAGAGCCAAACCTATAAGTCCAAGCCCTTACTATAAATTTCCAGTTGTATGTCTCTTGAGTATTCATACTCAAAGTGCCCAGAAGTACACTTCTGAACTTGTTCCCAAGCCCCCACCTGCTCCTATGGCATCCTCCAAACAGTTTCCCAGACTATGGGATCATGTGGGAAATATGCTCTCTCTTACTCTTGATGTCCATTGTAAAAACCACGTATACACACACACACACACATACACACACCAGTATGAAGACCATATCTAAACTATATTCCTAGTAACTAGCAGACATTCAATCATTTATTAAAGTATATATTTAGCAAATGTTTATGGGTCTCTATCACATGTCACTCACTGTTTGTGGATGTTGGAGGCACAGCAGTGGTAACAGGCACAAAACCCTGGTCTCATGCTGCTTAAGTTTTACGTTTTAGTGAAGGGAGATGGACTAAACAAATAAATGAATAAAATTTGTGGTCATTAGTCTGTGATAAATACTATGTAGATCAGTGAAACACAGAAGACATTAGAAAACTGTATTTTGGAAGAATATCTTTGAATACTTTAAATACTCTCTCAGGGAGACCTGATGGAACTGAGGCAGAGAGAGCTATGTGGAAAGAGAGAACAAGCAAAATGTCTCAGAAGCAGGATTGTGATTCATGTTTTTGAGGAAATAAGAGGGAGTGAGTTTGGATATAGTGGACTAAAGAAAGAGGCCAGATAGGTAGATGAGTGTCAGATTGTGTAAGGCCTTGTAAGCCAATGGAAAGATTTTGCTTTCTCTTTTAGTCGTGAAGCCATGCAGAACTCTTGTGTCTAGCAGTGATATGATTGGCCTGCTACATTTCAGGCTACTATATTTGGTCTAAACTATAGGGAAGCAATAGCAGAAGGAAAAATAATCCCTCTCCGCTGGTAGGAGGCCATTATAATAATCTAGAAGGAAGATGAGGTGGCTTGGGCTTGTGCATAGCAGATGGGGAAAAGTGATGAGATTCTGAGGCATCTAGATAGGATTAACTGATGGTTAGGTATTAGTAATGAGGGAAAGTGGGAGACAAGAATACCTTTAATGTTTTTAGCTTAAAAAACCTAGATGTATGGAGTTGACATTGACTGGGATTGGGAAGACATAGGGGGTTACACTCTATTCCATAAATAAACAAATAATTTTTATGCTTCACTGCTGTAGTCTACGGTGACTCAGCTTCCTGTCATGTTCTTCCCTTATTATTTTGCCCATCCATCATCCTACTTTCTGTGTATAGTCTTCTTGTCCCATCTAGAGAAACAAATTCCTCTCTCTTCTGATTTTTCAGAGTGCTATTTGTATTTTTAATCTAACTCTAATTACATTGCAATATAGTTGATTTTACACATTTCTGCCTTTTCCACTAGACTGGGTGCTCTTTGAGTAACAGAACCAAGATTTATTTATGTTAAAGTTCAATTTTCTAGTACTAAGTTGGACACAAACAACTTTCAATAAATATTTTTGAATGTCTGAAGAAAAATGCTAATGGCAATGGTTAAATATTTTTAACAGTTGGCTTTTGATATTACATTTATTATTCCAAAACCTATGCGCTATCCCCATCAGCCACAGATATTTAAGTGAGTATCAATTTTCTGTCTCCACTGGCTCCATTAAAGATTTAATCAGTATCATTTGGGTTTGATGCTTACTTAGTTCATCAAAATTTATAACCTCCAGCCTGGGTAGCATGGTGGGAGATTATACATCTATATCCTTAGTCTTTTCTAGGAAATCATAGAATAGTAAGAAGTAGGATATGCCTCTGGGTAAGAGGGAAAGCATTTAGTTAATATCAGACATGTTCAGAGAGAAGATAAGACTGTATTCCTATCCTTCAGTTTTTGCCTTTCAATTGTGATTTTGAGTATTCTTGATCCAGAAATACAAAGTAAGGATACAATTACCTTCTGATGTCATCGCCCCTTTCTCAGCAATTTCCAAATTCCTTGTTTAATCTCCTGGGTTCGCACCCCATAAACAATGGGATTCAAAGCCGCAGGAATTACATGGTGTAGGACATTAAGTAAGACAGGAATATCAGGGGAAACCTTTTTCTTGGCCATATGAGTAAAAACAAAAACCAGCAGGATGGTGCTGAAGAACAGGATGAGAATAAAATGCGAGCCACAAGTGCTTAGAGCTTTAGTGGCTGCCCTTTTTGCTTTGAGTCTAAGAACAACTTGGAAGATGAAAATATAGGAAAGGAAGATAAGGATGAGATCAGAGCCCAGAAGAGTCCAGGCCACAATTAACTGGTAGATTTGGTTAAGGACAACACTATCACAAGAGAGCTTAGACACAGATAGGTTGGCACAGATACAGTTCTCAATTATGTTTTTTCCACAGTAGTGGAGACGGGCAGAGAAGATGGGAATGGGTGCAGTGAGAAATGTGTTTCGAGCCAAGATGAAGACAACAGCCTTTGCCACAAATTGATCAGTGATTATGGATGGGTAATGCAGAGGCTTGCAGATGGCCATATAGCGGTCATAGGCCATGACCAGAAAGGTGCATGATTCCATGGGTAGGAAGTTATTCATAATGAACATCTGGAAGAAGCAGGCAGAGAAGCTGATGGACCTGAGGTCAAACCAGAAGATGGCCAGGACCTTGGGAATGACGGTGAGGCAGAGTACGATGTCCAGCAGGGAGAGAAGGCTGATCAGGTAGTACAGGGGCTCATGCAGCGAGGCCTCCAGACAGATGGTAATCAGAAGGGTGACATTGGCTCCCATGGCTAGGAGGAAGAGGAGGCTGAGGGGCAGGGATAGCCAGAGCTGCCAGCTGGGAGAGTTGACAAAACAGTTCAGGAGAAACTCAGAGACTTCAATAGGGAGGGAGCTGTTGCGATAATGTGGCATTAGCGTGGCTTTAGTGAGGTAGATGTCATTAAGTAGCTGAAGAAGAGAGAGGGAGTTAATTCTTCTATTGTCTTTGATGACTATGCACTTAGCCCATAAGATCCATGAGGTAAAGGACATAATTCACCTCATTCACCCACATCCCTTGTGCCTAGCACATTTTTTACAGGTAAGAGATGGCCATAAAATTATGTCTCCCATATTTTTCTTTTCATCTGTTTCATTTGACATTTTCTTTTGTGTAAGTTTCTCTTCCCATTTTGTTTCCTTGATTACTATTTAATACATCAGAAATTGTTTAAACATCAAGTGTTATGTAAATGAAACAAATAAAAATCAAAGAAATAAAGACTGAGAAGACATTTTGGTTTAATGTATAGAAAACATTTCAGTTTAATGTATAGAAATACATTCTAAAAGCTAAACCCTTTCAAGTGTTCAGGGAGTAAAAGCTGAGTGTATTCAGAAGCATGATGAACTGGGTACAAAGAATCAATCTCCTGATGACAATAAATAAAACCAATCCATGTCTACATCTATACCTCTATTCTATCTATACTTATACCCATACTTATTCCTGTGCCCATGCTCCTACCCATGCCCATGACTGTACCAATATTTCAATGTCTTGAATACATCCACGAGTAGGCAAACAAGAAAGAATTCTCTGGCCAGGAGCTGAATGAAATCCAGACATTAAAATCAAACATTGATATTGGCTCCCAACCAAAGGGAATTTGTTGCATGAACTTAAGCACAAGTTTTTATTTCTTAATAGAGGTCAGTGACAGGAGATAAAATCCAGGCTCACATTGTTATCATTTTGTGATGAGACTAGCTTACATTCACTTTCTTAACTTTTTTCAAGTATCCAGTATATCATTAATGATAGTTGCCATGCTGTACAATAGATTAAAATTTTGTATCCTTTGACCAACATCTCCCATTCCCCCACCCCAAACACTCCAGCCTTTGGTAACTACCATTCTACTCTCTAATTTTAATGTATACGCTAATTAGTTAGATTTAATCATTCCACAATGTATTACTTCAGAACATCTGGTGATACACAATAAATGCAAACAATTTTATATGTTAATTAAAAATAAAATAAAATTCAGGTTCAAACAGATGTGGGGTCTATTAGGTCCAACACCGATAGAACCTAAGAGTCCTACATAGATAGGATTCTACAGCACTAAACCTGCAGTAAAGGTTTGTGCAATACGTAGTCTTCCACCGCCACTCTTACTCCCCCCTGGAACTTAAAAAAAAAAATGACTACCTCCAACCTTGTTATATTGGAGGAAATTTCCTTGTAAGTACTGAACTATAGGCCAATTCTCATGTTACTTTGTAGCCTGAGTTTGCACCAATTGTTTGCCTCAGAAAGGCAGTTAAAATTATTCTACATGGGTAGTGGCACTAAAAAAATAAAAGAAGTTCAAATTTTTTCTTGAAGAATGAACTTTTGTCTTAGACCTCAAAAAACTTCAAACAGATTCTTCTGAAAAAATCAACCTGCTTGAAGTAAAAACAAAACAAAAATAATTAATTTAAAAAGGAAAAAATATCATGAATTACATTCACAAAAATAATAGTAGAATCCAACATACACAAACTAGAGATGTTAGAGTTAGTTTTTTGATAAAGAATATAATGAACAAGTTTTCTTACTGGGTTTTAAGAAATGAAAGATAAACTTGAAAATATAAGCAAAGGATGAGTATCCTTAAAAAGATTATCCTGTCTCCTAGAAATGGAAAAATACAATAATTAAGATTAAAATTTTGAAAGATTTAATAGTAGATCAACTACAATGAAGAAATAATTAGTAAACTGGAAAATAGAACTGAAGAAACTTAGAATGAAGCTTCAGTGAATATATAGAAAATGCAAAAGTGTGAATAAGGACATGGAATTCTGATTTGACTTGCTTTATCTTTTTTTGTTTTACTGGAATTCAGAAGATAGAGTCAGGAAATCAACGTTTTTTTCAAGGCACTGGAAACTGTAAAAGGTCAAAAAGCATATTTGGGAAAAAAAGATGTATTTGAAAAATATAACATGAATAATTAGATCTCAAAAGATAAATTTAATGATAAATTAGAGACAGCAAAAGATAGCAAGTTTTTAGATGGAAGGTCACCAAGAGCATACCAAGAATGAAGATGGAGAGAAAATAAAAACAGGGAAAGTGATGAAGAAAGTGTTAAGAGAAATAGAGGCTAAGGTGGGAATGTCTAGCATATATTTAATTGGAGCTCCAGAATGAAGAAGAGAGAGAATGAGGCAGATGATGCCGATATTTTTCCAGAAAAAAATGCAATGCACCAACAACCAGATTTAACATACTAATAAATGTCAGATGGGATAAGTAAGAAATTATGTACATCTAGATATCTAGATTTATCTAGAATATTCTAAATACACATCTGCTTATGATATCATGGTCTATCTTTAAACACCAAAGACAAAAAAATTTTAAAGATCAATTGACTGACACGATCATAAGAATTAGTGTGTGCTAGGCCCACTGGTAGTAGGAGTTCCAGGTTAGGGGTTGCACATAAGCCACAGGATTTTCAGCTTCTGTTTGGAAGAGTAACTTTACTCTCCAAGTACTCTCATGCTTCTCCTTCTGACCACCTGTACTTATATTATTCTTCCTTTTTAACCCTCAATTGTTTGATTTTCTGTGTTTTTTACAAGGGAGTCTTCAGACACCCTTCTTGGGGCAGCACTTGAGGTCTCTATGCGGATCTTGCACAAGGATCCTTCCTAGTGATTTGGAGATTGTTGCTCTTGGTGTCTGAAGGAGCCATATGTATACAGGGACTTTTCTCCATGAGCTTTCTGGGTGTCAAATTAAAGTGTATAAAGGGTGGATAGGAGTTAGATTAGTATTGAAAAAAATATTAGATGTGTCATTAAAATTTTTCAGTAGGACTTGGAGGTGAGGAGTAATAAATAATAACAAAGGAAAGAGGAAAAACTATAGAGAGAAAAATGGTGCTCCTCTGGTGATCTTATTGAACTGAAGGAAACTGTACACAGTTAGGTGAATCTAGGCTGGAAAGTGGAAAGTAGACTGAGAGTGAGTAGAAGAATGGGGAGAAACAGAAGCACATGAGTCCTGAGAATAGATGATGGAAAGAAGATGGAAAAAGAGAAAACTGAAGTTAGATAGAACAAAAAAGACTAGACTGAGACTATAGAGGAAAAATGAAGCAAAGAGAAGTAGGGAAAAGAAGGAGAAGTGGATACTTTTAGAAAATGAAAAAGAAATGAAAAGTCATTAATGAAGATATCCAATTAATTACCTTCGAGAGAGTAATACTTTCTCTTCCAAAACTGCATTCTTTCTTATGCTCCCAAAAAGGTGAAATGAAGGCTGCCCCAGATATTTTGCCCCTAATAGCCTGCTTCAGACCCTTGAACCTCTCATCCAGTCCATACCCCTTCCTAGAGAGCACAAGTGTCTGGCTCTGGCTTGACACAATCATCTCCACATGGTCTATGTCATTTCTCTTTTCTAGTGCTTTTCCCTGCTTCCGTTCAAGCCCTGATCCTTATATGTTAACCCTACAACATTTCCCGTTGGAAGCCCAGCTCTACTCCTACCTGAATCCCTGCTTGGGCCCAGTGTCTAATATCACAGTGACAGTTTGGTACCTTTGTTTTCCCACAGGGCCAAACTTACCAGATGGATACAGGGACCTCTGCAAGGCAGGAATATTCCTGTTGTTGTCTGTCTGAAACTTCTATACACTGGCTCTCAGAAAACAAAGTTTATGTCTGAGTTCAGCCTCCTCTGCTTCCCCAGGGAAGGACAGTTTTGTTGGTCTTAAGGAGACTAGAGAATCTGGAGCCCAACATCTTCTTTTTCTCGAGAGAGAGCTTTTCTCTCAGTTCTTCATGCCCTATAACTCCCTAAACGGGGTCACTAATACCCCTAAAGGCACAAGAAGAGTTTCAGAATTGATTGCCTTGTACCAATTGAATGAGTAGAAAGTGATACTTAAGACATAAAAGTACAGTTAATTTTAAAAAGCAAACACTAGAGCAAGAAGGTTCAAGGCAAAATGCCAGAGGGTACCAGGTTCTGACTTTCCTGAAATATATCGATAAAAATGCACATACTGTACATAAAACCAACTCTGTGCGCTCCTACACTATAGTTTGTAGCAATTACAGTACATTCAGAGCACTCCCTACATTTTTGGTGTCTGTGACCAATAGTTCTACTTGAGTAAAATGTTTTCAAGAAGCCCCATGTTGTGACACTTGCAATATAAAAATTCAAGAAGATTGCTTATAACTAACTTTTTACTTCATAATTTACTGTTACTTTTTGGCAGATGAATGAGATGGTTGATTTTGTGGTAGTGAATTTTTTTCTAATCCTAGCTTTCCATGTGGCCATGGGTCCAAGGTTGGAGATTAGACAGAACAGATTTGAACTCCCTTGTCTGCCACTTGACAAACTGCATAAATTATTTGTCTCATATTTATAATTTGTATATTTATTGTGAAAAATAAATGTAACCATGTTAAGAAAGTGCTGGCAGTTCTTATGGTGTTATTTTTTATTACTGTTGCTATAAAATTTGGCCTTCATGCATTTTTTGGAAACAAAAAAAGTCAACAATAAGTAACTAAATGCTTGCTGTTAGTCACCTTGGATCCTGTTCCATAGAAGTACCATGTCAAAAGCTGCTCGATCTCAAATCAGTGTCTACTATTTGCAGCACCTGTACTTATAATAGATTTTGTGCTCATTTAAAAAATACTTTTCCATTTAAAAAAACAGAAATAAACATGGTTATCTCTGATTATAACTAATGGTTTGTTCTGGTGTCTATCACTTGCAAATTATCCTCTCACACTCCACATAGTCAATTTTATACATGCCATAAAGGTAACTTTTAAAGTAAGACATTCCAAAATCTGTCCAGCAATTTTCATTTAGTTTGATTACAAAGATAAACTTAATTCAA